CACCTACTGATCTTAATAAGTTCATCCCCAAGCCCGAATCTCGTGGCCTCTGTAGCAGCCCAAATACAAAACTGTGTCCCAAATTGGCCAGACTGAAGCCCCAAACCCTCCATCCCCAACTTGAAGTAGGTAACGGGAAACCAGGAAGACGGGGGCATAAGCCCAACCTCAGAAGCCCATGTAACACGACATCCACGCCCTTCTCCAGGACATCAGTTTTAGACCAAGCTAGGTGACTAACCTCCTTATCCGGTGACCAGTGAACATCCCCTATTTGGACACCCCCCTGGCCCCATGAATTAGTGCTCACCAACTCCCGGAAGTGGAAAGCGCAGAAAAAGTCCAGTATAAATGCCGCCCCAAACAAACACGCCTCGTAGTCATTGAAACAGATTCGGGGAAGAGAGCCCACCAGGTCTTCCAACAGCTTAATGGACACTGGTCACCTCTTGTCCAGAACCCTGAGATCCCTCTGAAACCCCTTAATCATTTGCAGAACGATTAAGTGTTTGGTATAGTCCTTCCACCCGTGCCACTTAAACTAGAACACCAATGCCGACATGTGCCTAGTCACCACTGCAGGGGAGGACCTCCCGACCAACAACCGACAGGTGTACCACAACAGCGCACCCCTCTCCAATTCTCCCTCCAAACTGAGTAATCTGCACTTGTGTGCTGGGGGGCATGTTGCTCCCCCGACATACGTGACTCGGCAGCCCAGATCTCATCTCTTCACTTACTCTTCCCATATGACTTTTACATATCTGCATTTTTATGTGTTTTGTTAGAATGAAGTGTTTCTTTTTTCCTCTTGTACAGTGCTGTAGAATGTGTTGGCTCTATATAAAATTATTGTAATTAATTACCTATTTCTGCATATCCCTCAGCATTAGACACGTTGCACACTTTTTAAATTTGAAATTTTCACTGTAAACAAGTTGCGGGAAAAAGGCGAGTGTTTTGCTAGTGACCTTTGTGTACGAACGTCCAGAGATCGCGTCCGTTTACAAATAAAACTGGGTGATATGCTCTTCGGCATCTGCGAAAATAAATTGAATTGTCTCGTTAGCAGCAGGATGGAAGGCAGCTTGCTGTCCTTTAATTAACACTCCCTAAGACACTGCGAGCTAATAGGTGAAAGGCAAACTGTATGTCTGCTTTATTTGCTCAATGATTAAAAGCTTTCTGATTATTATTATTATTTTTTTTTTTTATCAAACACGACCGAGAAATCACACATTTCTATTTTTTATTTTTTTGCAATTCTACAATTAAACTTCAAGATATCACAGTCATAAAAGATCATGGAGTCATTAAAGACAATGACCCTGGAAATAAACTGTCAGAGAAAGCGCTTGAATACAATAAATTAAACATTTTCATGGATAAAAAGCCAATTAAGATTTATCTAGCCAGACCCCATTATGTTTTTTTTGGGGGGAGCTGATGTTACACTATAAGATGTGTGCAAATACAGAGACTCGTGACGTCCGGATTAAAATCTGCGGAGGGAGCTCAGTAATAAAACGACCGTGACCTTTTTTTTGTCTAGTTGCATTCAAGGAACACATCTGAGATCGTAATCTAATAACCCCAGCTGATACAGTTACCATATCCACAAATATCACAAATGTGTCCTGCGGTCATTTAAGGTGTAACTGGAAATCTTACTGTGGGGGGCGGTTTAGACAACGCACTGTATTTTGTTCACATTTTCCCCAGGTTACTTTCGTATAACGCCTTCTAACAGACAGAAAGTAAGATTATCTCAATCCAACTGGGCATTTAGCAGAGGCCGTAGGATGGAGGCTCGATAAATAGTATATAGGCGTTTTGCTATAGATAACTTCATGTTTATCCCCAGAGGTAAGATTTCATTTAAACATGAAATCCGCATCCTCAAACCTTAATTCCACATGTGTCCTGTGAGCAGAGCTTTCGAAGGCTGCAGAGTGTAATTTCATCAACATCAGCCGTCTCACAATTACCCAGCCCCGTCCCAAGGCTATCCCCTTCCTGGGGAGATAATTGTATGGAGACGAATGGTTATTTCTCCCAGAACTAAATGAGGGGAAAAAAGAACAAAGCAACACGTCGCTTAACTTTTCATCATTTTCTGGATGTTTGGAAATTTTAAATATTAATTCTGCTTCTGTTCGGAGAGAAATGCTGGATTTTAAACTACGCCGATGCCAGTATACAATATTTATATAAACCTCGATGTCCTAGTTTTCTATTAGTGTTCATTACTGCAAAGTCAATCAACGACGCAGCTTGTAAAATTGTCCATTTTATTTCTACTGTTATCACGAATTACTGTATGTCATAACTGTTCCCTTTCAAACCCTTAACGGGTCGGAATACAAACATTAAGCAGAATACGGGTCTCTATGTGTCATGTAATACGGAGAAGGTGCTATTCTATTTATTATTTATTTGGGGGTGTAGTTGGGATTTGTAATTTTTCATTTTAGTATTTACATTTTAATCTTCGGCAAAAGGTTAAGGATATGGAATTCTCTGCCTGAAGAGGTGGTTTTATCAGAGTCCATACAGATGTTTAAACTGCAATTGGATAAATACTTCCAAAAACATAACATACAGGGATATCATTTCTAATTAGTGGGGTAATAGCTGCTTGATCCAAGGAGACATCTGACTGCTATTTTGGGGTCAAGAAGGAATTTTTTCCTAGTTTGTTGCAAAATTAGAAGTGCTTCAGACTGGGTTTTTTGCCTTCTTTTGGATCAACAGCAAAAACAAATGCGAGGAAGGCTGAACTTGATGGACACAAGTCTCTTTTCAGCTATGTAACTATGTAACGTGAAAGCTCTTTACTTTATTTTTTTATTTTTTTTAATGGTTTTTAAATGTGAACAGAGTGCCTTTTATTTATTATTTATCCATCTTGTTGGGTCCAAACCAAGAATGGAGAAGTATGCGGCTTGAGATCTGGATACAAGGAGCAATGAAACCACGGCTGTGTCCGTGATGCCCGCAGTAGTGATGCCTCGAACTGTTCGCTGAACGGTTCGCTGTGGTTCGCCACGGACTCCAGTCAGCATACACATTCCAGCCAATCAGCAGCAGACCCTCCCTCCGAGACCCTCCCACCTCCTGGACAGCTCACTAAGAATGCAGCTTCACAATGAATGCTGTCCAGGTGGTGGGAGGGTCTCGGAGGGAGGGTCTGCTGCTGATTGGCTGGAATGTGTCTGCTGACTGGAGTCCGTGGCGAACAGTTCAGGACATCACTAGCCCGCAGCCATGAAAGTATAAAAGGGAGGCATGCAGGACAGCCAACCGAGCGCTCTCCTAGAGATTTCGATTTTATTTTAGTTGAACTCATAGGGTTACTGTCCCTTTAACAAGTCTGGAATGACTGACTTTCTCTCTCTTCCTGTTTGTGTGTGTCTTTATTTTGTTCTCCCCTGTCTCTCTCATGCTCTCTTTCAGTTTGTTTGTATGTTTGTCCTGCTCTCTCCGTCGCTGTCAATGGGGTCATGTAGCGGTGAATATTTCCCCGTTTAACGTTGCTATCTGCTTCAATGTCCCATATTAATAAACACGTCTCCGGGTCCCTGCTTTGTCTGTAAATGAGAAAAATAAACTGCCGTACATCAGGTGACTGTCCCTGACAGACTGTGATTTATGAATGTTAAGGAGGAGACGGACTATATTTAATCGAACATCCACCCTCCCTCTAATTGCCAATAAAATGGGTTTCTCTGTGGGCAGAATACAAACACACGGATCAGCTGTGAAATGTTTGCAATACTCAGCTACCGGAATAACAGACTAAATAGGAGGAATATACTTTATTTTCTATCCCATTTATAAAGACCGAACTGGGATGGCCGCTGTGTCATGTAATTACTGGTAGAATAACACAATGCAAAGGAATCTATAAAAATACAAAATATCAATCTTTGTTATCACAACCTACAGGGAGAAGCTTCTCAGTGACGGTAAATAAAATATATTCATTTAATAATTTACTGTCCACGTGGAAATAATATAGAGTGCAACAAAAACCCACGCTGGCCCCTCTTATGGAAGAATACAAGGCTTTCACTAGATGTGTGCTTCCCGACAGAATACTGGGGTTCTTCACATGCTCTTAGCGAACCCCCAAACTGTGAGATCAAGAAACAAGAAAATTCTACTGAGTCTAGAGAAATAAATATTCTAAAAAGACTCGCTAGACAGAGCACTTGTAGCATGGAACGGGTGTTATCAAAGGAAAATCTAGCACTTTACATACAGTGACAGCCAAAAACACACGTACCGAATATTTCCTAAAGTGGATTCAATGTGAATTTAAAATGAAAGGCCAAAGTCGGTAAATCGGAAGCATCGCTGGATTTTTACAATTTGGCTGTATTTATCTGAAATGTGACATTTCCTGAAATTCTCGCGTTACTGAATATCTCTGCAAGTCTTTGTGGCTCACTAACAAACTGAAGGGTGTGCGAGCGATAACTATATCACCTTATAGTTCACATCGCCAGGTAATTGTAGGGCTGGGTGAAGGGCTTCACAAAATCCTCCGTACGTTTTGTTATCAAGTTATACTAACCGTTAAAAATTTATAATTTTGGGGGGCGGGGCCTGGCTGCTGACTGAACAGGACGCAGGGTGAGGGAGCTCCTCAACCCTAAAGCATATTTATGCTAAAAACACGACAATCTGCCCCACAATCTCACCCAACAAGGATATACCTTGATACAGAAGCAACCAGACAGCATTGGTGTGAAAACCCGATGGCAAAACACGCCCGCGGTGAAGAGGGCGCCTTGTGGCCTACTAATAGACACCGGGCGAGAGACGCGGCCGGTCTCCTGTCCACTACTCGACACACGGGCAGCTTGGGTCTCACTTTCCCCCCCTCTGGGCCGGTGGGGGTCATCCCGGTCCCCGCTGGGCCACATGCTAAGGTCCTCCCGGGTCATTATGGGCTGCCCACGCGACAAACAAAATACCGTGCAGAGAAACCCAAGATGGCGGATGCGTCTGTGACTCAGACGTGGGAGCACCATCCAGCCGACCTCACTGAAGCACTAGATCAATTTGAAGCACGACTAGATGCGGCCTTCGGAAAACTCTGGGCCAACCTAATTGAGCTGATGAACCGAGTGCCTCCTGCGGCGCTGCCACGGGTGAGACAGCAGACACTAAATGAGAAGAGACAAGTGAGACCCCCCAAAGGCATACCGACCGCACTAAACACACACCTCGCTACATTACGCCTTCCTGGGCCTAGAGTCACCTGGGGAATACCCCCAAAGCACAGACCACGCATGCAGGAGGGAACAACGAGCCGAAGCCAACGTGGTACAGCTCCCGGTAACTTCCCGGCTGGGAACAACTTGGACTCAAAGAAGACCCAAGTTCGTGGCAACAAGGTGCAGGCTCTGGAACAGGCCCGGGGCCTGGGGAGTACTTCGCTCTCGACCAACAGCGTGGCTTGCTGCAGGGGACATTGCACGTATGTAAGGCAGATGCCCAACCAGGGAATCGGCTAACTTCATGACTCTGAGAGATGGCTGCAGGCCAAGATCAGCTCCCAGACAGGGACTCTGACTCAAGACTGCTGACCCAGCGGTATCAAAGCGTATAAAAGCGTATATGTTTTATTTTGTTTTATTTTATTTTAGGCTTGTTGCCACCTATGCTACCTATCTCTTAAATGCCATAACTAGTAGCCAACTAGCAAGCTAACGTATTGACAGTAAATACTCGAGTCTTAAAAACAAAAAATGTGCTGATACCGCATGCCACAGAATGTTTAAAATGTGTACTTCTCTTTGCCTGTGCTTAATTGGTCTGCCGTGTTTAAACTCTATAATGCACATCTGTACGCTGTATCACGTTATTCATCTGATGACTACTCATGCATATCCAATCTAAACCGTTGCCCCCTGATGCATTGGTACCATTCTTGTCATATTACCCACCATGTTATTTTACTGTTGGGGTACCCTGCAATACTACCTTATGTTATTAAGCCCAATTAGCTCTAACATACTTCCAGCTATAGATTCAATCTTGTATTAATCGTAAAAATCCATAAAATGTGCAATGTATGAGAGGCCACACCATTGTTATTGATTGTTTGTTGTTCTGCTAGCACTAGCTGTTGTGGCTGTGCGAATTCTGTCTGTTATCTAATGCACGACCAAAATAAAGAATAAAAAAAAAAAAAAAAAAAATGTATAATTTTGTAATGGTGTGACCACCAAATGGCAGTTTTATCTTGTCTGGGATTCTGAGAAGGAAACGGTGGGGTCAAGGCCTATTTGGACCGGTGGGAATTATCAATTATGGGGCCTCTGATGTTGCTGTGCAAGCTTGCTGCGTATTTTCGTGGTTCTTATTATTGATTAGACGTTATAATGGAGGGTTTATCCCCTTGTTCTAAGAGAAGCTGTGATTTTGGACAGGACCACAAAGTCTTTAATAGCCCCCTCCTGGTTCTGTCTATTTCCAGAGGTCACATGTCTGTCCCCGAAGCCATGATTCAATCAGCCGTTGGCCAGCAGCTGGGGCACAGGAAACGCAGACACAATCACATCTATAGATTAAGGATGGCTGGCTGCAAAGCTTGACTGTCTGTAGGGTTAATTGCAATTCACACACAGCATATAAACGTTTGTTAAATTAACCATTGCGCAGTCATGGCGGACAGGGAAACGATGAAACAGCCTCAACTATCACTTTATACCAATGATGGGCCTATGTTTTTAAACCAATGTTGGAGTATTATGCCTTGTATTTGGATGTATTGTACCTTTTAACATATGTGTTACAGTCTTAAAAAAGTACATGGGTTTATTCCCCAAACGCCAATGTATAGTGTGTGAGAACCAAAGTGTGGAATATTCGCAAAGCAATGGTTACTTCGGGGCTGGAGATATACAGCAATGTTTGCTTCAGTTTAACAATTCAGCTATCAGAACGTTCTAATTCCCTGTTTAATATAATGAATGTATCAAACTGCGCAGTCACTACTGAAATATACTATCTGGACCTGTGTGAGTGCACCAGGGTTGACCTGCCTGCATCTACAGGGCAAAACCGATCATTTGATTTCTTACCATGGAATACAAGCAGTTCTATAACTTATTTTGTGTCTATTCAGGAATCGAGCCTTTCCGTTGCGTCTCCTCTCAGACCCCCGGGTATAACTGCTTCAAACGTTTAACATTACCCCTTGTCGTACTGACTCCTAATGTGGAAGAGTGGAATCTTCCACCGGAGGATACTGTATGTTTCTAGGCCAGCCGAGAACGGTGACTTGCATCCAATCCTTTTATAAGGGCAGAATTCCCCCATTGTTTCTTTGCTTTGTTTGTGTCTAGAAAGAGAAGCCCTACAGAGGTCCTCACACATGGCTCAGTCTTTGAACTATAGAAAGTTGGAAGACATAATTCTGATGGCAACATACTACGCTACTGCTTTGGGGCATTTAAAATACTATGTCTTTAGAAGACGGACAGACAGCGTCATCAAGGAATGCCCATTATCTGCAATAATGCCAGGCAGGACATGACCTTTTAATGTCGCTATTTCACATTAATAGCGGCCATGACCCACAGTTCAGACATTTCTATTCTCAACTGGTGAATATCGCTTCCAGCATTCTGAAGAAACCTAGAATTCCAGACCTGTCCCAGTCTAAAGAAGAACTGAGAGGAAAGGAACTTTCTAAACTGATCGTTTCAGCTAAATATTCCTTAACTACCTACAGGGTGCAAGACCCTGCGACGATAAGGGAACGTCCGGCTTCTGTTCATCAAGCTTTGCACCTGGCAATCAGTATAAATAAAGCAAAAAGAATGAAAACAATGAAACCATGTTTTTCTATTTCTCCTCCTCATTAGCCATGTGGGCCGTGCCCTGCCGTGCCTTGCCTGAACAGGATTTTCTAAATATTTTAAAGGGAAAGAAACTCCTTTATTAAAAAAAATTTAACACAAGTTATAGGTGTAGCGGGCCCCAGGTAACCCGACCGGTTCCCTCCGCTAATTCCTTCCCTCAGCCTCTCTGGAACCAGTTAAAATATAAGGACACCCATTCCCCCCTGTAACTGGACGAGACACAGCTCTGGGAGTACAACTCGATTTTATTGTACCACACGTGGCTTTTATGCATAGATGTTCAGAGTACAGCGTTAATATTCCTAAAGAACTTTAAGTTCTATTATCGTAGAGAAGAAGAAGAAGAAGAAATTTCAGTGTTCAGCTGCTCCTCGACAATGACAACCCTTGGCAGTGGCACTCATGCAACAATCTTATGTATACAAATAGCTCACAGAACCAATCCATTGACACAATTTGTAATTTACATTCAAAGTAAATTGTACGACGTGTCAGTAATTTAAAGAATCCCAGAAATATCTTAATCTAATATTCTAGAAATGTGATTTCCGGGGAAATATTACAATAATCCTGAAGGCTGCCAAAGCTAGTCGCCCCGGGACTAAAGCACCGTGATGGTGTAAAAGGTTAATACCCAAAGCTGACAAATAAAATCTGTACCAATGCAGGATGAAGTAGGTATGAGAAGAGAGTTTATTTTTTCATTGTTTTCCTGCATTGTCAATTTCCAGAGCTTATCGGAAGCTGGTTGTGTTATCTCTCTCCTGGCTCTAGAGAATAAATTACTGCGCTCATTGTTGCATGAAAAACGCGCACCGGCGCGGTGATGACGTCGGTTCCCGTAACCGCTCTGCAGGCATTGCTTTAAAGCAGAATAAAGCGCTTCTGATACACGTGCCCATACGGTGTCCATATCTTGATTATCCCATGAATTCGATATTAAAGCTGCTGCAATCAAACGGAGCCCTGGCGATTTAACCTCTTCCACGCCACAGGATACTGCACGCTTTCTATAAAAATGACAATATTTGTCATAACCACTGTTTCTGGTTCCCTCACACCTATTCCTTACCGCTCCAGTGATTGCTAATACTAATCGGAGCTGGTAAGGGTTTGTTTTATTGCTTAATGCAGATATTTTATATAATTTTTCTTAATTGCTGTAAAATATAATTTTTATAACACTGCAAACCTGCGTCTTTCTCCTACTATAGTCCAGGATTTAATTAAATTATACTAGTTAAATCTTTTAGTCAGTTACTTTCCAATAAACAGAATTTATCCCCCAAAATAGGATAATAGACTGACTGCATATTACAAGGTGTGATAACTGCTAGTGCAATGTGTGACCACAGACTGTGCCTTCTATATTACTGTTACTAAATGTTACTGTCTGAATTCTGTTTCTCTGTATGCATTCTGTTACTATATGCTACTGTGTTACTCTGTGTCCATTCTATGTTACGCTGTTGCTATTTGTTACTGTGTTACTGTGTCCATTCTACGTTACTCTTTTACTATATGTTACTCTGTTATTGTGTCCATTCAATGTTACTCTGTGTAACAGATCACCTTGCACCCCCACTGGGTACCTCCGTTGATGGATGCTCCTAGCGCTTCCTGAGGACTGCCAGCACTCCAGCTAACACCATAACCACCATAGACTCCTCCAGAGGGTAATGCATGAACAAGCTCTTACAAGAGCTTAGTAGTGATTTAGCAAGGGAGTATGACAGGCGTAGCAATCCCTTTTAGTAGATTCGCCCAATAAGAGACAGCACTTCAAATTGAGAGTGAAGTAGTATTGTCTAAAACTTTATTTTACTTGGGACTAGCCCATATGGTCATTACATTAACATTGCTGTGAAAACTCAATACAATTACAAACAGTCAAATCATAGCAGGCAACATACAGTGACTTATTATAACATAATTACATATTTATAAATGGGTGGGGAAGACCATAATTAACACAAAATGTCTCTCCTGCATGCAGAATTAGCGATATGCAAATCTACCCAAATATGCAAATTACCAGTCTTGCTATTCAGGTAGTGCATATTACTGTTGCTACCAACAGATGGCACTACACAAGCTCCATAGCCAAATCCACCTAGTTGGTAGCAATCCTCAGCAGTACAGGAGAGCAGGCAATACATCCCAGGTGCCATAGTCACATGGCAGGAGGCTGGCAATCAGTCTTCTCCAATGCCCAGTGGCAAGGCTGGTTCCGCCACATTTCTCCCCTTTTCCAAACAGACTAACAGGGTATCTGACCTCCTGCCGGTTAGTGCACTGGTTAGTCCAGCAACCCACCCACGAAGCACAAACAGTAATACAGCCCACCCACAATACATGGTTACTACACCTTGGTAAAAGATTAGTGTAACGGATCACCTGGCACCCCGACTGGGTACCTCCGTTGAAGGATGCTCCAAGCGCTCCTCCAGGCACCACAACCACCGTAGACCCCACGAACCACCGCAGCTTGGTTGGGGTCTCGCCGTCTCCTACCCACCAGGACTCTAGATTGAGGGTGAAGTAGAACTGACTGTACTGGCACATACAGCCTCTTTTATTCACATTCTACAAACATAGTACTGCCCGCAGGGTTTTGAAATACAACCAATCAATCCGTACAATACACACAGACACTCCCACACAAAATCCTCCCCTCTGCCTGTGATATGATTACTAAATACA